CTTCTGCTTCAGCCACTGAGAGTGAGTGTGAGAGAGGGAGGTAGAGAGGGCAGAGAGAGAGAGAGAGAGAGAGAGAGAGAGGTCTAACCAGATCAAACTAACACTCCTCTCCCACCGATGCCTCTCATCTGCAGGACCAAATTAAGGTAAGTTGGAATCTCTCTTTCTCTCCTTTTTTCTTTTTTTTTGGGGGGGGGGGGGGACGGGTGTGTGTTTGGGGGGGACGGACGGGTGTGTCTTTGGGGGGGACCCTCCTGCAGAAGGGCGCATAGGTATGCGTTTGGTGCGTTTACTGGTATCTGCATAGCCATTGACTCTAAGGAGGACGTCCAGCTCGGTCCGTGTATCGAGGACAACAGATCGTTGGGATCGATCCTCCAGATCAATGGTCGATTGTTTGAATATTCGCCGTCCTCCCTCGGTGTCAGGACCAGCGGCTGCTGCATTATGCTTGGCGTTTGTTCCGCCGGAGCCTCTCGGTCCTGCGCTGCCTCGACATCGAGGTTATTTTAAGGGTAAATGTGAGCAGAACACGAAGAGGTTTGGGCTGAAACTGGGGCTGTTCATGCGTCCGCAACTTAGTTTAACGTCTGCTGGGGCTGAGATGCGACTGGCGACGGAGCAGCACTTTTAATTCACGTTGGAGGATACCCCCCCCCCCCCCCCCCCCCCCCCCCCCCCCCCCCCCCCCCCCCCCCGCCACAATTGAATACATCTGCCTTGTGAGGCAGAGAGTGACTCTCCGGAGCCCCTATTGTCTTTTTCCTATCGTAGGACGGGAGCACTGACCGACTGTGGAAATGGTCCACAGTGACTGTTTTGTGGAAAAACACCCACTTGGCCTGTTCTCAAGCTGGTCCAGTTATTTTCAGTTACGCTAAAGCAGCTTTGTTGAATTGTTGGATCAAACGTATGCTATTATTTGCAAAGATTAAACTCTTGGTATAGATGTTTCGTTGTAGTGCTTAGTGTCTTAGATACCTCATGTGTCCTATTTTATGGATTCATAAGGAATAAATAAAGTATACCAATACTTTCCATTGGAGTATGTGGCAGTGACTGCAGTCAAAGTAAACACTTTCACTTAAAACAGCAAGTGTGAGGATGAACCTCAATCACTTTAAACTTACTGCAGTATTTTTTTTAATATATAATGCTTGCTACTAGACACCTGGCAGACACCTGGCACTGCTTTTTCTGACTCAGCTCAGCTTTGTTTGCCTTTAGGAGGGCAATGCAGGAGAAATCATCCATCACTTCTCATAAAAACGTCTGTGTTTATATTTAACCTTTCTCCTGGCTTTGGATTTTGCACTACCTCTCGACTAAAGGCATTGTGAACTTGACATGTTATTTGTCTGCCATTGGCCCAAATACCTTTACATTAGCTTCATTTTTATTTTGTGAGCGGGGTAGCTTAAGCCCTAAGTCTGGGGCTGCAATCTTTTTTCTTGGAAGCAAAAAAATAAAATGGACTTTATGCTGTTTGAATGCCTAGTCATTTAGATACAAGCTGGAGGAGTAATGGCTGGAAGAGACGGTGGTGCAAGGAAATATAAATAACTTGATACCACATGGAGGACCTTGTGCATTGATTTTCAGACTGCATGCATCTTGTGGGTCATTCTATTGTGCATCTACTATGCAGTTTGTCTTTCTCTTTCTCTTATGTTTTTTCAGATATATGGTTTCTATAGCAGGGGGAGTGAAAACTGTCTGCAGCTGCAGTGGTTATTACCTGACACATGGCAGCCCCTGGTGTAAATTTACTGCCATACTGACAACTTAGTGTAAACTGCTACCTCTGCTTCACTTATGTGCTGCACTTCATAGCTTCTGTTTTGCACTGTACTCTTTCTTTTTAGGAGCTTTTCAGCTAGAAAATTACCTTGGTTTAGGTTCGGTACGTGCAGCACATTCGTGCCCGTCTCTACCCTGTCCTCTTGTCTCATGTTTCCCATGGATTTTCAGTGACGACTCTCTCACCCTCCTGTCTCCCCTCTTCTCTCCCCACAGACTGGCTTCGGACGGCGGCAGCGGCAGCAGCAGCAGCAGCAGCAGCAGCAGCGGCAGCAGCCGCAGGCGCAGGGCGCACCCCAAGGGAGG